TGTGGCCTCCACTGACTGTGGAAAGGAGTGTGTGTGGTCCCCATGGCTGGACATCAGCCGCCCAGGACGTGGCATTGATAGCGGGGACTTTGATACACTGGAGAACCTCCGTGCCCATGGACACGAGCTGTGCCAAGTGCCCATGGAGGTGCAGTGCCGGGCAGAGGACGTCCCTGAGGTGCCCCTTAGTGTCCTGGGGCAGCGTGTGGAGTGTAGTCCCACTGTGGGGCTGACCTGCCACAACCGGGACCAGATGTCGGGGCTCTGTGACAACTACCAGGTCCGGGTCCTGTGCTGCCACCCTGTGCCCTGCTCTGTCTCATCTGGACCCACAGCCCCCTCCTCGGCCCTTGTCACAATCACGGGCCCAGCCACCATCCCCAGGGCCAGCAGTGCACCTGCCCCAGGGAGCCCCACACCAGAGAGAGCCATGCCCTCCACCTCCAGCATGAAAGCAGAGCCAACCACCTTGTCCTGTTCAAAGCAGTGCAGCTGGACTGAGTGGATTGACAGCAGCTATCCTGCACCTGGCAGAGACAGCGGAGACTTTGACACCTTGGTTGAACTTCGTGGGCATGGATACAAATTCTGTGAACGGCCCCAGAGTGTGGAGTGCCGGGCCCAGTTCTTCCCCAACACACCACTGGCTGAGCTTGGGCAGAAGGTGACCTGCAACCCCGAGGTGGGGCTGCTCTGCCTGAACCGGGAGCAGCTGCCGCCCATCTGCTACAACTACCAGATACGAATAGAGTGCTGTGAGGTGCCACACTCCTGCAAGATGACAGCCAGCACATCTGAAACCTCGGCCACCCCTCAGGGCCATGAGTACCAGGCCAGCACCTCGACACAGGCTGTCCAGACCCCGGGGACACACACTGTCACCCTGCCTGGGACCACAGGCTGCCAGCCCCAGTGCACCTGGACCCCCTGGCTAGATGTGGACTCACCTGAGCCTGGGCCCCATGGTGGGGACCTGGAGACGTACAGCCACATCCTTCAGAGGGGACACAGCATCTGCCGCCAGCCTGAGGAGGTCACAAGGCTGCAGTGCCGTGCCCAGGGCCACCCTGAGGTCCCCATCACCATCTTGGGCCAGGTGGTACAGTGCGACATAGAGGTGGGCCTGGTGTGTCACAACAGTGACCAGCAAGGGCCCGAGGGGCTGTGCCTGGACTACGAGGTGCGCGTGCTCTGCTGCCACATGCCCGATGGCTGCTCTACCTTGGGGGCTGAGACCATGAGCACAGAGGAGGGCACTACCAGGGGCACCAGAACAACTTCCTCAATCAGAACAGGAACGAGCTTGACCCCCTCAACCATGACCACAACCAGCTTGACCCCTACAACCACAACAAGAACCAGCTCGACCCCCTCAACCACGACAGGAACCAGCTCGACTCCCAAAACAACAACAGGAACCAGCTCGACTCCCTCAACCACCACAGGAACCAGTTCGACCCCCTCAACCATGACCACAACCAGCTTGACCCCTACAACCACAACAAGAACCAGCTCGACCCCCTTAACCATTACAGGAACCAGCTCGACTCCCTCAACCACCACAGGAACCAGTTCGACCCCCTCAACCATGACCACAACCAGCTTGACCCCTACAACCACAACAAGAACCAGCTCGACCCCCTTAACCATTACAGGAACCAGCTCGACTCCCTCAACCACCACAGGAACCAGTTCGACCCCCTCAACCATGACCACAACCAGCTTGACCCCTACAACCACAACAAGAACCAGCTCGACCCCCTTAACCATTACAGGAACCAGCTCGACTCCCTCAACCACCACAGGAACCAGTTCGACCCCCTCAACCATGACCACAACCAGCTTGACCCCTACAACCACAACAAGAACCAGCTCGACCCCCTTAACCATTACAGGAACCAGCTCGACTCCCTCAACCACCACAGGAACCAGTTCGACCCCCTCAACCATGACCACAACCAGCTTGACCCCTACAACCACAACAAGAACCAGCTCGACCCCCTTAACCATTACAGGAACCAGCTCGACTCCCTCAACCACCACAGGAACCAGTTCGACCCCCTCAACCATGACCACAACCAGCTTGACCCCTACAACCACAACAAGAACCAGCTCGACCCCCTTAACCATTACAGGAACCAGCTCGACTCCCTCAACCACCACAGGAACCAGTTCGACCCCCTCAACCATGACCACAACCAGCTTGACCCCTACAACCACAACAAGAACCAGCTCGACCCCCTTAACCATTACAGGAACCAGCTCGACTCCCTCAACCACCACAGGAACCAGTTCGACCCCCTCAACCATGACCACAACCAGCTTGACCCCTACAACCACAACAAGAACCAGCTCGACCCCCTTAACCATTACAGGAACCAGCTCGACTCCCTCAACCACCACAGGAACCAGTTCGACCCCCTCAACCATGACCACAACCAGCTTGACCCCTACAACCACAACAAGAACCAGCTCGACCCCCTTAACCATTACAGGAACCAGCTCGACTCCCTCAACCACCACAGGAACCAGTTCGACCCCCTCAACCATGACCACAACCAGCTTGACCCCTACAACCACAACAAGAACCAGCTCGACCCCCTTAACCATTACAGGAACCAGCTCGACTCCCTCAACCACCACAGGAACCAGTTCGACCCCCTCAACCATGACCACAACCAGCTTGACCCCTACAACCACAACAAGAACCAGCTCGACCCCCTTAACCATTACAGGAACCAGCTCGACTCCCTCAACCACCACAGGAACCAGTTCGACCCCCTCAACAACGACAGAAACCAGCTCAACCCCCTCAACAACGACAACAACCACCTCAACTCCCTCAACCACCACAGGAACCAGCTCAACCCCAAAAACCGCAACAGGAACCAGTTCGACCCCCTCAACCATGACAAAAACCAGGTCAACCCCCTCAACCACCACAAGAACCAGTTCCACCCCAGAAACCACTACAGGAACCAGCTTCACCCCTTCAACCACGACAACAACCAGCTCAACCCCCTCAACAACAACAGGAACCAGCTCGACCCCATCAACCATTACAGAAACCAGCTTGATGCCCTCAACCACAGCAACAACTAGCTCGACCCCCGCAACCACCACAGGAACCAGTTCGACCCCAAAAACCACAACAGGAACCAGCTCAACCCCCTCAACCGTGACAACAACCAGCTCGACTCCCTCAACCACCACAGGAACCAGCTCGACCCCCTCAACCACCACAGGAACCAGCTTGACCCCCTTAACCACAACAACAACCAGCTCAACCCCCTCAACAACGACAGGAACCAGCTCGACCCCATCAACCACGACAGAAACGAGCTCAACACCCTCAACAACGACAACAACAACCTCAACTCCCTCAACCACCACAGGAACCAGCTCAACCCCAAAAACCACAAAAGGAACCAGCTCGATCCCCAAAACTACAACAGGAACCAGTTCAACCCCCTCAACCACAGCAACAACCAGATCAACCCCCACAATCACGAAAACAACCAGCTCAACCCCCTCAACCACGACAGGAACCAGCTCGACCCCCTCAACCACAACAGGAACCAGCTTGACCCCCTCAACCACAACCACAACCAGCTCAACAGCCTCAACCACGAAAGGAATCAGTTCGACCCCCTCAACCACAGCAACAACCACCTCGACCCCTACAACGATGACAGGAACCAGCTCGACACTCACAACCATGACAACAACCAGTTCGACCCCCTCAACAACAACAGGAACCAGCTCGACCCCCTCAACCACGACAGGAACCAGTTCGACCCCCAAAACCACAACAGGAATCAGCTCAGCCCCCTCAACCATGACAGGAACCAGCTCGACCCCCGCAACCACCACAGGAACCAGTTCGACCCCCAAAACCACAACAGGAATCAGCTCAGCCCCCTCAACCATGACAGGAACCAGCTCGACCCCCGCAACCACCACAGGAACCAGTTCGACCCCCAAAACCACAACAGGAATCAGCTCAGCCCCCTCAACCATGACAGGAACCAGCTCGACCCCCGCAACCACCACAGGAACCAGTTCGACCCCCAAAACCACAACAGGAATCAGCTCAGCCCCCTCAACCATGACAGGAACCAGCTCGACCCCCGCAACCACCACAGGAACCAGTTCGACCCCCAAAACCACAACAGGAATCAGCTCAGCCCCCTCAACCATGACAGGAACCAGCTCGACCCCCGCAACCACCACAGGAACCAGTTCGACCCCCAAAACCACAACAGGAATCAGCTCAGCCCCCTCAACCATGACAGGAACCAGCTCGACCCCCGCAACCACCACAGGAACCAGTTCGACCCCCAAAACCACAACAGGAATCAGCTCAGCCCCCTCAACCATGACAGGAACCAGCTCGACCCCCGCAACCACCACAGGAACCAGTTCGACCCCCAAAACCACAACAGGAATCAGCTCAGCCCCCTCAACCATGACAGGAACCAGCTCGACCCCCGCAACCACCACAGGAACCAGTTCGACCCCCAAAACCACAACAGGAATCAGCTCAGCCCCCTCAACCATGACAGGAACCAGCTCGACCCCCGCAACCACCACAGGAACCAGTTCGACCCCCAAAACCACAACAGGAATCAGCTCAGCCCCCTCAACCATGACAGGAACCAGCTCGACCCCCGCAACCACCACAGGAACCAGTTCGACCCCCAAAACCACAACAGGAATCAGCTCAGCCCCCTCAACCATGACAGGAACCAGCTCGACCCCCGCAACCACCACAGGAACCAGTTCGACCCCCAAAACCACAACAGGAATCAGCTCAGCCCCCTCAACCATGACAGGAACCAGCTCGACCCCCGCAACCACCACAGGAACCAGTTCGACCCCCAAAACCACAACAGGAATCAGCTCAGCCCCCTCAACCATGACAGGAACCAGCTCGACCCCCGCAACCACCACAGGAACCAGTTCGACCCCCAAAACCACAACAGGAATCAGCTCAGCCCCCTCAACCATGACAGGAACCAGCTCGACCCCCGCAACCACCACAGGAACCAGTTCGACCCCCAAAACCACAACAGGAATCAGCTCAGCCCCCTCAACCATGACAGGAACCAGCTCGACCCCCGCAACCACCACAGGAACCAGTTCGACCCCCAAAACCACAACAGGAATCAGCTCAGCCCCCTCAACCATGACAGGAACCAGCTCGACCCCCGCAACCACCACAGGAACCAGTTCGACCCCCAAAACCACAACAGGAATCAGCTCAGCCCCCTCAACCATGACAGGAACCAGCTCGACCCCCGCAACCACCACAGGAACCAGTTCGACCCCCAAAACCACAACAGGAATCAGCTCAGCCCCCTCAACCATGACAGGAACCAGCTCGACCCCCGCAACCACCACAGGAACCAGTTCGACCCCCAAAACCACAACAGGAATCAGCTCAGCCCCCTCAACCATGACAGGAACCAGCTCGACCCCCGCAACCACCACAGGAACCAGTTCGACCCCCAAAACCACAACAGGAATCAGCTCAGCCCCCTCAACCATGACAGGAACCAGCTCGACCCCCGCAACCACCACAGGAACCAGTTCGACCCCCAAAACCACAACAGGAATCAGCTCAGCCCCCTCAACCATGACAGGAACCAGCTCGACCCCCGCAACCACCACAGGAACCAGTTCGACCCCCAAAACCACAACAGGAATCAGCTCAGCCCCCTCAACCATGACAGGAACCAGCTCGACCCCCGCAACCACCACAGGAACCAGTTCGACCCCCAAAACCACAACAGGAATCAGCTCAGCCCCCTCAACCATGACAGGAACCAGCTCGACCCCCGCAACCACCACAGGAACCAGTTCGACCCCCAAAACCACAACAGGAATCAGCTCAGCCCCCTCAACCATGACAGGAACCAGCTCGACCCCCGCAACCACCACAGGAACCAGTTCGACCCCCAAAACCACAACAGGAATCAGCTCAGCCCCCTCAACCATGACAGGAACCAGCTCGACCCCCGCAACCACCACAGGAACCAGTTCGACCCCCAAAACCACAACAGGAATCAGCTCAGCCCCCTCAACCATGACAGGAACCAGCTCGACCCCCGCAACCACCACAGGAACCAGTTCGACCCCCAAAACCACAACAGGAATCAGCTCAGCCCCCTCAACCATGACAGGAACCAGCTCGACCCCCGCAACCACCACAGGAACCAGTTCGACCCCCAAAACCACAACAGGAATCAGCTCAGCCCCCTCAACCATGACAGGAACCAGCTCGACCCCCGCAACCACCACAGGAACCAGTTCGACCCCCAAAACCACAACAGGAATCAGCTCAGCCCCCTCAACCATGACAGGAACCAGCTCGACCCCCGCAACCACCACAGGAACCAGTTCGACCCCCAAAACCACAACAGGAATCAGCTCAGCCCCCTCAACCATGACAGGAACCAGCTCGACCCCCGCAACCACCACAGGAACCAGTTCGACCCCCAAAACCACAACAGGAATCAGCTCAGCCCCCTCAACCATGACAGGAACCAGCTCGACCCCCGCAACCACCACAGGAACCAGTTCGACCCCCAAAACCACAACAGGAATCAGCTCAGCCCCCTCAACCATGACAGGAACCAGCTCGACCCCCGCAACCACCACAGGAACCAGTTCGACCCCCAAAACCACAACAGGAATCAGCTCAGCCCCCTCAACCATGACAGGAACCAGCTCGACCCCCTCAACCACGACAGAAACCAGCTCAACACCCTCAACAACCACAACAACCACCTCAACTCCCTCAACCAGCCCAGGAACCAGCTCAGCCCCCTCAACCATGACAACAACCAGCTCAACCTCCTCAACCACAACAGTAACCAGCTCGACCCCCTCAACCACAGCAACAACCAGCTCAACCTCCTCAACCACAACAGTAACCAGCTCGACCCCCTCAACCACGACAGGAACCAGCTCGCCCCCCTCAACCACGACAGGAACCAGCTCGCCCCCCTCAACCACGACAGGAACCAGCTCAACCCCCTCAACCAGCCCAGGAACCAGCTCAGCCCCCTCAACCAAGACAGGAACCAGCTCGACCCCCTCAACCACGATAACAACCACCTCCACTCCCTCAATCACCACAGGAACCAGCTCAACCCCAAAAACCACAACAGGAACCAGCTCGATCCCCAAAACCACGACAGGAACCAGCTCGACCCCCTCAACCACCACAGGAACGAGCTCGACCCCCTCAACTACCACAGGAACCAGCTCGACCCCCTTAACCACAACAACAACCAGCTCAACCCCCTCAACAACAACAGGAACCAGCTCGACCCCATCAACCACGACAGAAACCAGCTCAACACCCTCAACAACGACAAACCACAGCAACAACCAGCTCAACTCCCACAACCACGAAAACAGCCAGCTCAACCCCCTCAACCACGACAGGAACCAGCTCAACCCCCTCAACCACAGCAACAACGAGCTCGACCACCTCAATCACCACAGGAACCAGTTCGACCCCAAAAATCACAACAGGAGCCAGCTCAACCCCCTCAACCATGACAAAAACCAGCTCGGCCCCCTCAACCACGACAACAGCCAGTTCGACCCCCTCAACCACCACAAGAACCAGTTCCACCCCAGAAACCACAACAGGAACCAGCTTGACCCCTTCAACCATGACAACAACCAGCTCAACCCCCTCAACAACAACAGGAACCAGCTCGACCCCATCAACCATGACAGGAACCAGCTCAACCCACTCAACAACGACAACAACCAGCTCAACCCCCTCAACAACGACAGGAACCAGCTCGACCCCATCAACCATTACAGGAACCAGCTCGACACCCTCAACCACGACAACAACTAGCTCGACCCCCGCAACCACCACAGGAACCAGTTTGACCCCCTCAACCACGACAGGAACCAGCTCGACTCCCAAAACAACAACAGGAACCAGCTCAACCCCCTCAACCACAACAGGAACCAGCTCGACCCCCTCAACCACGACAACAACCACCTCCACTCCCTCAACCACCACAGGAACCAGCTCAACCCCAAAAACCACAACAGGAACCAGCTCAATCCCCTCAACAACGACAGGAACCAGCTCGACCCCCTCAACCACGACAACAACCACCTCCACTCCCTCAACCACCACAGGAACCAGCTCAACCCCAAAAACCACAACAGGAACCAGCTCAATCCCCTCAACAACGACAGGAACCAGCTCGACCCCCTCAACCACGACAACAACCACCTCCACTCCCTCAACCACCACAGGAACCAGCTCAACCCCAAAAACCACAACAGGAACCAGCTCAATCCCCTCAACAACGACAGGAACCAGCTCGACCCCCTCAACCACGACAACAACCACCTCCACTCCCTCAACCACCACAGGAACCAGCTCAACCCCAAAAACCACAACAGGAACCAGCTCAATCCCCTCAACAACGACAGGAACCAGCTCGACCCCCTCAACCACGACAACAACCACCTCCACTCCCTCAACCACCACAGGAACCAGCTCAACCCCAAAAACCACAACAGGAACCAGCTCAATCCCCTCAACAACGACAGGAACCAGCTCGACCCCCTCAACCACGACAACAACCACCTCCACTCCCTCAACCACCACAGGAACCAGCTCAACCCCAAAAACCACAACAGGAACCAGCTCAATCCCCTCAACAACGACAGGAACCAGCTCGACCCCCTCAACCACGACAACAACCACCTCCACTCCCTCAACCACCACAGGAACCAGCTCAACCCCAAAAACCACAACAGGAACCAGCTCAATCCCCTCAACAACGACAGGAACCAGCTCGACCCCCTCAACCACGACAACAACCACCTCCACTCCCTCAACCACCACAGGAACCAGCTCAACCCCAAAAACCACAACAGGAACCAGCTCAATCCCCTCAACAACGACAGGAACCAGCTCGACCCCCTCAACCACGACAACAACCACCTCCACTCCCTCAACCACCACAGGAACCAGCTCAACCCCAAAAACCACAACAGGAACCAGCTCAATCCCCTCAACAACGACAGGAACCAGCTCGACCCCCTCAACCACGACAACAACCACCTCCACTCCCTCAACCACCACAGGAACCAGCTCAACCCCAAAAACCACAACAGGAACCAGCTCAATCCCCTCAACAACGACAGGAACCAGCTCGACCCCCTCAACCACGACAACAACCACCTCCACTCCCTCAACCACCACAGGAACCAGCTCAACCCCAAAAACCACAACAGGAACCAGCTCAATCCCCTCAACAACGACAGGAACCAGCTCGACCCCCTCAACCACGACAACAACCACCTCCACTCCCTCAACCACCACAGGAACCAGCTCAACCCCAAAAACCACAACAGGAACCAGCTCAATCCCCTCAACAACGACAGGAACCAGCTCGACCCCATCAACCACGACAGAAACCAGCTCAACACCCTCAACAACGACAACAACCACCTCAACTCCCTCAACCACCACAGAAACCATCTCAACCCCAAAAACCACAACAGGAACCAGCTTGATCCCCAAAACCACGACAGGAACCAGTTCAACCCCCTCAACCACAGCAACAACCACCTCAACCCCCACAACCACGAAAACAACCAGCTCAACCCCCTCAACCACCACAGGAACCAGCGCGACCCCATCAACCTTGTCAGGAACCAGCTCAATCCCCTCAACAACAACAACAACCAGCTCGACCCCCTCAACCACAACAGGAACCAGCTCAACCTCCTCAACCACAACAGTAACCAGCTCGACCCCCTCAACAACAGCAACAACCAGCTCAACCCCCACAACCACCACAGGAACCACCTCAACTCCCTCAACAACGACAGAAACCACCTCAACCCCCTCAACAATGACAGGAACCAGCTCGACCCCATCAACCACGACAGAAACCAGCTCAACACCCTCAACAACCACAACAACCACCTCAACTCCCTCAACCAGCACAGGAACCAGCTCAGCCCCCTCAACCATGACAACAACCAGCTCGACTCCCTCAACCACCACAGGAACCAGCTTGACCCACTCAACCAGGACAACAACCAGCTCAACCTCCTCAACCACAACAGTAACCAGCTCGACCCCCTCAACCACAGCAACAACCAGCTCGACCCCCGCAACCACCACAGGAACCACATCAACCCCCTCAACAACGACAGAAACCACCTCAACCCCCTCAACAACGACAGGAACCAGCTCGACCCCATCAACCACGACAGAAACCAGCTCAACACCCTCAACAACCACAACAACCACCTCAACTCCCTCAACCA